TCAAGGCTAGCCTAGTCTGCAAAGCAAGTTCTAGGCCAGCCCAGGATACATGTCGAGATGGGTCTGAAAAAACACAAACTTTAAAAAAAGTAAACGAAACATTTTCTTAGTGGTAAGACCCTGTTGCTGAAGGTACAAGAAGACTTTGGTTGCAGGACAGAGAAATTGAGCTGGAACTGACCTGGAATCTTCTTTCCTGATGCATAGCATTCATAGTGACCAAAGGTCCTATGCAGGCTGCTGGGGGAGAAACGTCATCCATGGACTTACCCAGTGCTGAATCCCGAATGCTACCATACCAACCTTACAGGAAAGAATGTGCTCACAGGTATAATAGTGGCATGACTGTTACAGAAGTAACCAACTGCTTTCTGATGAGATTTGAGGCCTACTTTGTGGAGAGAATTCGTGGCTGGTCAAAAGCCTGTGGACTTGGAAGCAACATGCTACTGTTGTTCTGGCCAACAGACATGTTACCAAACTTCCTTCTAAATATATATATGTGTATATATGTTTATACTCATAGGTTAGCGTGACTCTCAACCCTGGTCAGGGAAGCTGTTTGCAGTAGGCAATAGTCGGTGCAGAGTCTTATACCTGGTCCAATGCTGAGAGGAAGTGACTGTCCAGAATACGGGCTCAGCCTTAAGTAGGACACCTCTATCCGTCTTCCTAAGGCCTAGGGAGCATCATGGAGGAGGGACTAGAAAAAGGTTAAGAAGGTTGGTGGAGTCCTGTGAGATGCTCTCCTCTAGACATAATGGCCGTTGCAACTTAGGAACTCAGAGCAGCCGAGGTTACCTGCATAAGACTTGTGCAAGATCATGCCAGTCCAGTAATTTCTGCAGGGGAGAGGGAGGAGCTCATGAAGCTCCACCCCTCCCTGAGGAGCTATTGGCAAGTGAAGCCTGCTAGGGTAGGAGGAGTCATTTTTCTTTGAGAGTGTGGCCCACGTTCATTCAGACAGCACCACCGGGATTCAGTGAATGATGAATAAAAGAAAAGGAGAGAACGCAGAGAAGGGAGAGGCACAGGTTGGGGGCGGGCCTGGGAGAGCAAGAGGGGGTAGTTGGAGGTGGATATGAAACAGACTCATTATATATATGAAAATTTAAAAATCTAGTATCTTGGGATTGAGAGTACAGCTTCATGAAGGACACCTGCTTGGCTGTGTAAGAGACCCAAAGTTGGCCCCAGCCCCACACAAAGAAATGAAAATGAGTATCTCAGCTCGCATTTTGCATTCAGCAAGTTTTGACGAAAGTATCATTACTCATGTTACAACTCCAGCAGTTCGACGGACAGACGTTGACGCCACACATTTGCATACACTGCTGTGTGGGAAGAGTGTCGGGTCGCTTTTCCTTCCAGCTCAGAAGAGTAACAGGTTGCCATTAAGGGTTCTCAGCGTTCTTCCACAGCAGTCTCTCTGGGTTCCAGAGGGAGGTCAGTGTGGGGTTTCTGGGCACCCTCCCTTCAGGAAACGGGAAACTGCTTCAAGCGCTGTGTGCCTGTCTCTGGGGTTTGGCTCTTCTCTCTTAATTGTTTGGAGCTGGAACAACTTGATTTTAAAACAAAACATATGTGCTGAGGGCAGTTGGGAGGACGTTTGCCGCTGATGTGGTGCCGAAGGTATGCAGCAGGCGGGGGCCCTGCCTTGCGCTGTTTGCTCACTTAGGTATGGAACATTTCCATTCCGTCCAAATTATGCCCCCTTTCCAAATTCTCAAACCCGCGTTTGGAAAGACACAAGTCAAACGGGAAACACCGAAGCAAAATTGTAGAGGAAATTATGAGTCTCTTATTTTTTTTTTCCTTTTTCTCTGTGGAAAACCATCTCTTTCCAAGTTTTTTATTCTGATTCTTGAAAGAAAAGAACGATTTTCCCCCAAGTGCCAAGAGGAGAAAAGAGAGCTGTGTAAAGAGAAGAAGGTGCGCACCCCACCCCCAGCTGGACTTCCCACCACTTTTCTCCGTGCTCAACACCAGCATGGAGAATGTCCCGTCCACAGTCAGTCCTTACATGAAGGCAACATTTTGTCTCTTCTTGTTTGAGATGGAGTCCCTGGTAGCCAAGGCTGGGCTGGAACTCCTGATCCTCCTGCCTCCGCCTCCAAGTGTTGACATTGAGGTAGGCGCCCATCTCTTCCTTCAGCACTTCCTCTGCTTGCTGGCATGGTAATATGTTATGTCCTGATCACATGCCATAAACTTCTGGCCAGAGTGCAAGGCTGCTTCCATCCCAGGTGGGGATGGGAATTCATCAGTGAGAGCACTTTCCCTTAGCTAAACCTCCATTCTTCCACTTAGGAGCTCTGTGATCTCCAAAACTTATCCAAACTTGTTTTCTCTTTTTCCTGAAAAGGGCCAGTATAGTGCCAGTTTCAAAGTGAAACTTCTGTGACGCTCAAAAAAAAGACACCGCGTCCAACACAGTCAGCACAGACCCTCGCAAACACTGAAAACGGAAGCGTGAGTGGCTGGCCTGGGCGACCTGCATCGAGACAGGCAGTTAACCACGATACCCTCTGTTCCCATCCCACCCACTGCTGGTGGTGATACTGTGGTGGTGATACTGTGGCTGGGCACTGCATCTGGGCGGCGACTGTTGTCCGCAGAGAGCTTTAGACTTAGAAAGTCAGACATTTCGCCCCGGGGTGCCTTTGGTTTCATTTGCATAAAACAAAGCGTGAATTCTGCCCTCTGGAGTAACCCTGGTCTCCGAGAATCCTGTGTACTCCTACCCACCTGCCAGTTGTGACTGTATTTTGTCTGGCACCTATAAATAGGACACGAACCTGCCAATGTGTTTTCTTCCTATACTTTTATCATGTTTTAGATCAGAAACATAAAATGAAATAGCACACTGGCCAGGCTAGTATGAGGGCTGACCATAGTTTTTCATAGGGTGTTGAAAACAAGAAATCTTTGTAAGCACCTGTGCTGGCTAGTTTTATGTCAGCTAGACACAAGCCAGAGTCATTTGGGAATGGGGGCTTTTGATTGAGGAAATGTCTCTATAAGTTCGGCCTCTAGGCAAGTCTGTGGAGGCATTTTCTTAATGATTGAGGTGGGAGGGCCCAAATCACTGTGGGTGGTGCCACTCCTGGGCAGGTGGTCCTAGATTGTATTTTTTTTAAAAAAAGGCAAGCCAAGCAAGCTTTGAGAAGCAATCTAGTAAGCAGTGTTCCTCCACGGCCTCTGCACGAGTTCTGCCTCCAGACTCCTGCCCCGAGTTCCTGCCCATCTTCAGTGATGGGCTGTGATGTGGAAGTGTAAGCGAAATCAATCCTTCGCTCCCCAAGTTGATTTTAGTCATGGTGTTTCATCACAGGAATAGAAAGCTAATCATGACAGCATTTTTAAGGAAGCTCGCTCGGAGCAGGGGCAGGAAGAATGGAGGCCTAATTTTATTTTTATTTTTATTTTTTTCTTATTTTTGTGGAAGACACACTGACGCTTTTCGATGGGTGCGTAGAATTTTATTTGATCGCACTCTGTTTTATTTGATGTCATATTGTTTTTTGAGCTCTGGGAAGTTCTACATTTCTCTTTCTCCACTGGGATTTACTACCCCCCCCCTTGCCCCCCTCAGTTCAGACTCCCGCGGTGAATGGCAAGATCTTGCTGGGCGGACAATTCTCAGACTTCCCTGAAACTGAAGAATAACCCCCCCCCCCATTGTGCTTTTTGCCCACGCTCTCAGTGGAGAGCTTTTCTGACATTTAACTTAATCAAGATGTTAGTAAAGTAAACAGTGTTCTCACACTGCTGTCCGACGAAACCGTTTGCCACCCCGCCCCCACTTCAGTGTTTGGAAAGTAAAGTGCACGTCTCTGTTGAGAGTAAAGACAAGGAGTGGGTGAGGTAGCCGGTCACGCACGGCACGCTCAGTCCGGGTCATGGCTTCCTAGTGGGTGGGCGGATCTGTACCATTGGTGCCTCAGTTGTAAGACACACTGTTATTTTAAATACTGTCAGAGGTGGGGGACGATACTGTGCGTTTTAAACCACATTTCAGTTTCAGGGATGTTCAGATGTAAAGGGGAAAAGGTGTGTCTCAGCAGACAGGATATAGTGAGGGTCAGTTAGCGTGGCAGGCCCTTTCCACCATGGGTGCTGGCACCGTCGTGGCCCTCCCGTCCCCAGTGTGGCTAACGGATGGAGCAGCAGGTAGTTGGCCTTAATTCGCTCTGTGTGCTGTGTGTGTGCCAAGTTATCCGTGGAGTTACGGGGTCAGCTTAGACCAGGAAGAGGAATGAAGCCTTGGGAGCTACAGTTTTAGTTTCTAAAAAACAAAACAAAACAAACCTCACAGATCTGGGGGTTTCTTTGGATCACTTTGAGCCTGATGGGATTCTTACCGCCTTCGAAGGAGCCATAAAGGACGTGTTGGAGGACACAGGGTCTCCAGTGTCCCCTCTGCTACCCTGTCTGCTCATAATGGTTCAGTGGAACAGAGACCACTGCGTCTCTGAATTCGTGCCTTTTATGTACATGTTGAATGAACAGTGGCTCAGATTCCTGAACATATTCACTCACCTTCTCTACTCTAAATGTTCATTTCATTCAAGATTCTACCTGAAGATTTTAATTCATAATTTGAATGACTTTGAGGCACCTATGGGTCCCTACCCCTTTTCAATGTTATAATAATTTTAAGCCAGGAGGCCATGGTATTTCTTTTCCTAGTTAATGCAGATTTTTTTTTTAAAGCTTTTCCCCCCCTGATCAAGTAATATAGTGAAGCAATTAATTGAAAACTTACTTTCTCTGGGCAGTGGTGGTGCATGCCTTTAATCCCAGCACTTGGGAGGCAGAGACAAGTGGATCTTTGTGAGTTGAGGCCAGCCTGGTCTACAGAGCTAGTTCCAGGACAGCCAAGGACACATAAAGAAATGTCTGTCTCTAAAAACCAAAGAAAAAAAAAAGAACTTATTTTCATGAGTGAAAACATGGATTTTCCCTAACACTTACCCTGATCTCTTTTTCTCTTTCAGTTTTTGGGAATAACATTTCTTGGAATTGGACTGTGGGCATGGAATGAAAAAGTAAGTTGATTCTCATGAAGGCAAACAGGTTTGGTTCAAGGCCACATCTTGAATATTCCCCTTTTGTCTTTGACCACCACAGGGTAAAAACAAGAGTGTCTAATGAAAGGAAGCCTTCTTCAAGACTGTTTGGGTGTCTAAGGTGATCACTACATCAAATTAATCACTATAGTCCCAGTGTAGAGTGTGCAGAGGGAACTGAGTTTGACCAAGGCATGGCCTCCGCCCGCTATGATGATCTCAGTATGCTTAGGAATGTCACTGTGTGACCTGTAACCTTTCACCCCCATCTCGTGTCTTGTGAACCCTTTTGGAAGATGACTTAAATGTTAAAAAATGGTTTGTCATGCCGTGTGGTAGGAAGAAAGCCAAATATAAATTCCTGTTTAAATATCAGATAAACTCATCACTGGTGCTAAAGACTGTGAACAGGCAGCAGCTGGTCATAAATATTAAGAAGTGCTCCAAGTCGATGGTCACATGTAGTATAGAGAAAGGGAAATCTGGAAAGACCAAGGGACATATTTCAAATGGCAGTGAAGATGGGAGTTCTGGGCAGTTTTTGTCTAGGTCCTTGTCTCTCCTCCTCACTGCAGCTTTTGATTTTCTCTCGCTTTCCCTGGTCACTGCTGAAATTCAAAAATGAGAGCCCCGCCCCCCCCCCCTCCCCCCCCCTGTTCCTTGTTTGGAGGTGAAGTCACTCGCAGCATGTTTTGGCCACACAGCAAAGACTTCTGTCTCCTACCTTGTGAGAGTACAGTGTTTGAATTGGTCAGTGTCCTAGCAAACTGAGGACTTAGCTAGTCTTCTCTCATCTCCTGGTGTTTGTCCTCTTGAGTCTGGCTGTACTTGAAGGCAAAGGTTCTTTTGAAGTGTTAAATGTGTTAAGAACCATTATCAGTAAATAGAAAGGAGACCCGAACCAAGGCTCCTGTCAAACAAAAGACTTTCAGATGCCACCAGGTGAGCTTTCTCTGAGTAGAGCCTCTTGCAGATAGACCACAGGAGGCAAAGAGTAAGACCTGAGTCTTCCCATTGATTGGGGGTTTTACTCAGTGGTAGAGCATTGTCTGAGTCAGTCTTAGCACTGCATGAAAGGAGGGGAGACATCATTCTGTTGGTATAATGCTTGTCACACAAATGTGAGGACCTCAGTTCATCACCACACTGATGCAAAAGCCAGGTATCATTGCACCTGTTTTTAATTCTGTACCGGGCAATAGAGACAGAAGGATTCCTGCAGCCAGGCTGTGAATCAGTGAGCTTCAGGTCCCAGTGAGAGACCGTCTCAAACATGAGATGGATAGCAACTGAAGAATGCCACCTTTGACTTCCACATGCATGTGCACACGCACATGTGAATGCACACTTGCACATACACATGCACTCTTCATATGTGAATGCACACACACACACACACACACACACAAACACACACCTTTCTTTTTCTTTTTTAAGAAAGAAAATAGGCTTGGTGAAATGGTCTAGAGCAGTGGTTCTCAGCCTTCCTAACGCTGCAACCCTTTAATACAGTTCTTCATGTTGTGGTGACCCCCAACATTAAAGGTATTTCATTGCTACTGCCTGACTGTATTTTTGCTACTGTTATGGATAGTAAATTTAAATATCTGATATGCAAATGTGGAACCTCCAAGGAGTCACGACCCACAGGTGGAGAACTACTGGCCTAGGGGGTAAAGGCATTTACTGCCGTGCCAGACACCCTGAGTTCAATCCACAATTCTCATCCAGTGGATGGCGAGAGCTGACTCCTAAGAGTTGTTCTCTGACCTCCATGGCATGTATGTATCACACACACACACACACACACACACACACACACACACACACTAAATGCATGAACGTAATAAAATTTAAAGAAAGAATAAGGAGAAAAAGGAGAAAAAGGCACCACCCCTTTTATATTTATAGAATGTGTCTATAACATATAAAGTACAGTCCAGAAATGCACTGCTGCCCAGCAAACAGTAACCTTTGAGACAAAGCCTCCCTTATACAAAGTAAGACAAATTAAGTTCCCTGAACAGATAAGTTCATCCCTCGAAACTTCTCTGTTGAATACCAATCTTCTCTTGGATTGTGGTTAGCTTCCTCTTCATCCCAGTTAAGCCTTGAGATTTGTCCGGGTGGAATCTCAGAAATTCTCTCTTTAGAACCCTCTGTTTGGTTAAATGCCAGATAACACAGCTTCTTATAACCCTTTAATAAGAGCCATTTGTGGCCGCTTTGAAAAAGATACTGGAAGGCATTCAATGAATCGGTTGTCTGTCCTAGCAATAAACAGGCTGTTGGTCATTTTGAAGTTTTTTTTTCTCTTTATGAAAGACAATTATGTTTTTATTTTGTTGGTGGCCTCACATATCTCTTTTCTGATAAAATAAAAAAAAACTTCCAAAAGTGGCAGCGTCTTCCCAATAGAAGAGGCACCACCAATGTTCAGAAAGGGATGGCATAGCGGTCCTTTGTCAGGGCCGCTGCCAGTAAGTGGAACCTTTTTCTTGAGAACTGACGATTCATGGTCCACATCACTCAGCTACTACCTAGCAGAACTTGATGAGCAAGGTGCAGGTCAGAGGAGCAAGGACTCAAGGTATCCGGCCATACAGGAGCCCAAACTGTGGCGCACTGTGCATGAGCCTGGACCTCGGACACAAAGCTATAGCAAGGTTGATGCGGGGTCCCTGCCTCATGTTTTGATGAGCACTTGCATTCTGGGAGAGACACTCACTGGCTGGAAGGAGGTCACTGGCCAGGAACTGCGTCCAAATGCTGGCAAGAAACACTAAGCACAGACTACGTAGAGAGTGGCAGGAGACTGGTGTCTACCACTCTACAGTTTGATTGTTACAGTAGTAAGGTTTACACCCAGGGCTTTGTGTGTGCCAGGCAAATGCTCTGTTACCGAGCCATAACCTTAACCGAGATGTCCCTCTTACAGCTCAGAACCAGCCTTCCCGAGGAGGTGGCATTGGGATCTTTAGGATGTAAGAGAGATCTACGTAGGAACAGGTTGAGGACATTCAGGAGGAGGGATGACAGGGCCTTGCTGATTCCACCTTCGGAACTGCAGAAGCCCCTTGTCCCCCCACCAGGCCAGGTCTCTAGTTCAAGGTGAACCCCAGTCAGGTTGAGGGTGGAATGTAGTTTGAAGCTGCTGAGCTAACACCAGTTTGCATCAGTAAACTCCCAGACAAAGCTGTGGCATTTACTTGAAAGGAGGAGTCAAGGACAAAGTTTTGAACTGAGTCAAAGCTGGAACGATGTTGAATCCACAGCAGGGCTCAGATTTCTGTAATACACAAAACACACTTACGTAGAACACAGAGGCAGCAGAGGTAAAAATTACTACCCTTCAAACTTACTATCTATGAGTCAGAGTTAATATTGCAGGTGAGTGCTGGAAATAATTATTAAATAATTGTATCTAAATTCCAAGTTGGCCTTGAAGATACAGAGAATGGCTGTGTCTCCAGGGGAAGCTGGTCCTCTTAGTTTTCCATGATCTCAGGATCTGCTCCTTGGAAGGAATGTTAGCAGTTGTCCAGCGTGAACGCCTCTCTAACACCCTCGGCAACACATAGCCGGAGTGAACTCATTTATCCCAATAACATTACTGAGCACATAGCTCATGATGGGTCCTAATGCTGGGTCTAGGAAGATGAAGCAAAGAGTTGGAATCCTCAGACTCAACCTCAGACCTTAGATGCAGGAAGGGCATGCATATATCCACAAAAGGTATGCGTACGAGAATATTGTAGTAAATGCTGGTTGGGACCGAACATGCAGGTAACAGTTCCCAGGGTTCCCTACTCTCACCATTTCTGTCTTTGGGTTACTTTTACTATTAAAAAAAATTTTTTTTTGCATCACATGAGGATCATGTACTGTAGATTTTTCCTTCTGTTTTGGAGCACTCCTGTCAGAATCCACAGAATAAATCCTTCCACATGCTTGCTCCTGAGGTTTCTCAGGAGGGAGCTCGGCTTCCTTTGAGGTTACCAGATGCAGCATCTTTTCTCTGGGTGGTCCTCACGTGCCACCACCATCCTCTTGGTCACGTTCCTCTGGCCTCCCCATAGTCTATCCTCTCCATCATTGAGAGGCTACTAGAAGAGCCATAGAAAGAATGCCTAGGGGCTGGAGAGGTGGCTCAGCGGTCAAGATCACTTGCTGTTCTTGCAGAAGACCTGGATTCAGTTCTCAGCACCCACATAGTGGTTCACAACTGTCTGTAACTACAGTTCCAGGGGACCCAATGCCCTTTCTGCCCTGTGCAGGCACTTAATGCACTTGGTACTCATGCAGACAGAAACATGCCCAGACACAAAATATAAGCAAATGAACCCTCTCAATATTGAAATATGTTTTGTACAAAAGAGAAGAGACCTGGCTCGTGTCCCATCTCCATTTTGCAGCGTCCACACGCTTTGAGACCCCCTTCCCCTCCCTGAGTCCACAGTCTGCTGACAGTTCCAACTTGTTCTCAGACCCAGCTGGCTTACCACATCTGCCTCACATCTAGCTGGGCTTGGGGGTCAGTGCAAGGTTAAGCATGCCTATGGTAATGTGTGGGTCCACCTTTCCACTCCTACATCCCGAAGCTCTCACTTGGAAGGCTGCCTTTCCACACAGTGTGGCTTCAGCTGCACATTTTGATCAGTCTCCCTCAGCTCCTCCTTCTCAGTGACATCTTGCTCCTTTCCCATTTCCTCTACCTCCATGTCTATGAAGACCTGATTCGGAAGGGCTGGGGTGGCCTGGGACCGCTGTTTGCACAGGGCCTTCTCGGTTGTTCTAGTAGCAGTGACTAATAAAAGCCCTCAGAGTGTCGATGGGGGAAGGACATGACTTTAGAATTTCCCTTTGAGACTGGTGTTGGATCACTTGGTGTGCACCCTGGGGGGGTCAGTCACAGGGTTTCGACTTGTCATTGCGTCGGACCATCTTCTGAGTCCTGTGTTTGATAGGCGACATCCTCCACGTGGTCTTCTCCCGTCCCTTTGCCAGCCTGGGGAGTTGGCTGAACCTTCCCCTTTCTCACGGAGCCCTTGCTGGGTCCTGCCACAAACCTTGTTCTCATCCCCCCGACACTCAGAGCCCATCCATGGAGCAAGGACGTGGCGCTCCACTCACCTCATCTGCTCCCTGGCTCTGGGAGACCCATGCTCTGCCGCTTTTCCCTCCCCACGGCTTTGCCAACTCCACCTCACTTTCTTGACTTCTAAAGTTTGGGATGCCGCTGCCCGGAGACGGCTTCTGCCTTCACGCATGCTCTGAGGAGTCTCCGTGGGTGGGGGTGGGGCTGCACGTCATAAATCCTGGGGCTTCCAGGTGCATTTCATTGGCCCTATCCTTGTCTGAACCTCGGATTCGCACACACAGTGGCCTACCCAGTATCTGTATTTAATGCTCCCAGTGGGCTTCTAACGCTCAGCATATCCAAGACAAGACTGCCCTGCCCCAGGCCTGTGTTGCTAGTAGACCCTTCGCTTTCTTTTCTTTTAAAACTGCGTTCATGTCGTCAACAAATAGTCACCTTTACCCTGCAGCCATACGGGTCCCTTGTCCTCTGTGCCCCTTTCGTAACAACGTTATCAAAGTCCAGCTGTGGGACTTGGCCTGCATCAGTATGGAGGCTTTGGTTTCTGCCCACCCTCCCCCGCGCACCCACCTAGGTCAGGCATCTTGTAACAGCTGAGTGATCCCCAAAAATGTGAGGCAGATTCTGTTGCTTCTGTTCCAGACCGTGCAGTAAGCTTTCGCCCCAGAGCTATGGGGGAGTGCCTGTCACTTCCGACCTTATCTCCTGCACTGGGACCTCCTTTCCTGTGCACCAACCCCTGCTGTCCGGTCCTCTACCACCCAAACCTGGACCCAGCACACCACGGCCCCTCAGCTGCTCTTCTTGGCCCGGTACACTTACCCCGGAGATCCCCGTGGGCCCTTTCCTTTCCCTTCTGATCTCTGCTCTCATGCCACCCGCCCACAGGCTTCCTGTCTGTTGGAGGGAGACACTCTCCCTGTCTGTAGCCTGCTCCTCCCCCTCCCTGTGTTTTCCCACCTTGGAGGACTTCTGCTTATGCTGTAAAAAACGTATTGCTGGGTTTCTCCCTGGGACGAAGGCAAGCTCAGTTGGGGGCGGGGAGCCTTGATTTCCTGCTGGGCTCCAGTACCTTACTACATTAAATGGCACATTTTTATTTTATTTTAAATCATGAGGGGAGTGGGCAGTAATGTGCATATGAGTGCAAGTATCTACAGAAGACGTAAGAGGACATCAGATGCACTAGGACTGGAGTATGTATGAGCTGCTTGATGTGTGTGCTGGGGACTGTACTCAGGTCCTCTGCATGAGAGGGACGTGCTCTTACCGGCCAAGCCGTTTCTCCAGTCCCTAAGCAGCACATTTTAGTGTGATGCTTAAGAAATACTGTCTAGGGTCTGGGGATGTAGTGCAGATGTGCAGGGCTGCCCTGGGGTCCGTCTCCAGTACATAAACCAGATGTGTTGATCGATGCCTTTAATCCCATCACTCTGGAGGTGGATTCAGGACGATGAGGACTTAAAGTCAGTTGGGGCTATGTAGAGAGTTCAGGCTACATGAGATCCTGTCTCAGAGACAGAAAAAGTAGGAAAGGGGGAGAAGAGAAGGGAAAAATACCATCTACACAGCCCATGCCTGTAATTCCAGCACGTGCGGGCTGCGTGGGCAGGATGATTACAAACTCAAGGTCAGCTTGGACCACTTGGTAAGACCACGAATTAAAAACAGCGATAAGAAATAGGATCTTTGAAACAGTGAAAGGTGAATAATGGACAGTGGCTGCATTCTGTTAAATCCTGGCCATTCCATGACCTCCGTCATTGAGCTGCGGCAGTCATCGATACCTAAGAACTCTAGTGAACTGACTGTATTCACACTTCTTACTGCATGAAAGGAGATAAAATTGTGTCTGGTTTGTCTCTGGTCTCTGATATGAGGGATACGGCCTTCAGAATAGCCGTATTTGTGAGTGCTGGGAAATGGCCTTTCACTTCTATTGTTAAGAATGGGAATCTATATGATCACCTTGTTTCATGGGAGAGTTAAGGTGCTTCCCCTCTCCTGCTCTGTCCAACTATCCTGCTCAGTACTTAGTTCTGGGCAAAGCCAGGAGAGGGGGGTTGCGTCACTGATGACTGCAAGAGGGGGTGTGACAGACAGTTGTTGATGGGGAGGAGAGGATTCTGCTCCCCTGATCCTGCATGTGACTGGGGTTTCCAGTGTCCCCTGCCTTCTCTATCTAGCACAGCTCCTGCCACTTGGCAAACCGAACTCCTTGAGGACAGTAGTTCGTGCCCTTGGCCTCATGGTCCCCTCCTGTGGAGTGGACATCCAGATGTTCAGAACCACACGAATAAGGTGCGCAAAGAACTCTGTGCTTGCCAAGTGCTGGTTAGGATAAAAACATCCTCATAAGGAGGTTTCATTTTCAGTCCTGTGATCTATGCATTACCTTGGGTTAAATTTTAAGAGGAAGGTAGTGTTCTTTTTCAGAAATAGGGAAACTGAGGCCCTGAGATGTGAAGCTGGGATTCCTGCTCTCTCTCCCTGTCCCTCCTGGTCCTCTGTCATCCTCCCTCACGTTCTCCACCAGTTCCCTGATGGAGAACAGGTACACAGCCCTGATCCCAGGAGGGACATGGGAAGTGAATCCTGTACTGAGGCTGTCTCTGCCTTTCCTGTGTTTAGAGATAATTCTGTCTCTTCAGGGCCTTTTTCCCTCTCTGGTGTCTGTATCTGGAAGGCTCTCCATCACCATCTTGTAGTAGACTTATCCTGGAAGAATGCCCCTGTGTTCCCAGGAAGGGGAGTCAGGAATGCTGGGACCCGGACAGTCAGGCAGTTCACTCAAGGCAGAGATCAGGTTCCCATCACCGAAGAATGTGGTAGATAGAAGGACTTGGCTACCCTGGCTGTGGCCACTTTGAAGGGATAGTTGTAAGATGCTGCAAGTCGTCTTCAGAGGTTTCCCTTTATTGACTGAAGTGTGGTAAGTCGGTCTGCCTCCCTCCCTCAGCTGTCCTTGTCATCCCCTGAAGTTCCCTGGTATGTCTTAAGCGCTGCCCACAAGAAAGCCTTTGGTCAGAGCCTGGAAGGTGACCCTGTGATCTCAGTTCTGAAGCAAGTACAGGACATGATGAAAAATCTCTGGTTTTGTATGTAACCCTTGAAATGGTATTCAGACAAACTTCTTAGGTACAAAAATCCAAACTGGTTAAAGGGTCAGTGCCTTGGTTACTAAGGGTCCGATCTCCATTCCTGGCCCATTCTGAGACAGACTCTTGTCTGGCACGAAGATAGTATCTTTTCCCCATGCTGAACTGCTTTGGGCCCTGAGACGAGGACAGGGATAGGGACCTTGGCTGTAGTTCCTTAGTCTAATTCCTGTCAGCTCAGAGTAGAGATGAGGCTTTGCCCCCCAGCCTGGTGGTGGCTGGTAAGGGTCTTATTGAAGCTTCCCTGCTGAGTGTCTCTGTCTCTTGGTTGCTTTGAGCTGGACTCTGAGTGGCCTTCTTACCCCCACCAGCTCCTCTGTCTGTCTTAAGTCCATCCCTCTGAAGTCTGCTGATGCCGCATCACACCATTGTGGGCACCTCTGTGTGGTGGGGTCATCGTGGCCCAAGCTGCCTCTTCCACGCTGCCCTCATGATTCCTCTTGGCTACACCCATCTCCCGAAGAGGCCAGAACAGCCCTGGCCCGCCTCTGACAGCAGAGCGGTCAGCAGCCCCCTCTCCTCAGGAGGTTCCCGGGGCAGGAGTGAGTCCTCGGGCCCACCTCCTTTCCCTGGTGAGCAGGCCCTGTGTCTTTACCACAGACGGCCACCTGCAAGCTCCCTGGCTGTCCCCTTGACACTCAACATAAGCAGTGAGTAAAAAGAGAAGTCTCACCGCCCCCACACACCCCCAGAGTGGTTTCATTCATGAATCACTTATTTGGGGTCTGGGGTCTGGGGATCTGGCCTCAGATCGTCCCAGGCAGCAGAAACCTCACTGGCTGAGCCATCTCCCCGGTTCCTGCAGCAGTCTCCTCTGGGACAGTTTAAGTCCCCTCCCCAGGCTCTCTCTCGCCACCTTTTGCATGCCTGACTTGGCTGGAGGGGTGTCTGTGGCAGGGGTGGGTGCAGAACAGGAAGGGCTTAGCTCCTACTCACTTCGGTTGTTTGTTCCGGTGAAATCTGAGACAAGAATGTTCTAACACGTTGTCTGTGTCTTGACTGAACTCTGCTACGTTCCTGCTGCGGCGGCTGCTGCGTGCAGATGCCATTCAGTAGGGCATCCCGAGAGGATAGGACATACAGCTCAGTGGCCAGGCCAGCTAGCTGCAGATCCCCACTCGGCCCCCTTCTCCCTTCAGTGATTTGGGGGCCTTGCTCTCTCTCACTTGGTGTGTTTGCCCACCAGAGTGCTCAGTTCGGCACGAGGATGAAGTAGTGCAGGCGTCCCAGGGCCTGGCGTAGCCGGTGTGCAGCAGGGTGACGCTCAGGATAGGGTTGAGCTTTCCCTCTCCGCAGCAGGTCCACCGGCTGCTTCCATGGTGCCCGGCCACTGCCTGCACAGGGTCTCTCAGCACAGAAGTGCCCGAGTGCCTGAAGGACAGATCCAGTGGCACCCTGACATCCTCTTCTGCTTCCGTCCCTCGGCACACACTTACACAGACCCTGTTGGCCAAGTTCTGTTTCTTCATCTCCACACGTGCTGATAATGTGAGCGTCTGCAGGAGCTCCTCTCTGCCCACATGGCACCACTGTGGATCTCTGCCCCAGTGTACCCTCTCGCTGTAGACACGCTACGGGGTGTCACCGGATCTTCTTCTAAATGCCCACGGCTGACACAGAACTTGGCGTCTCACCTTTGGGCTGCACACTAAGACAAGATAATAATATACTGTGGACTAAAGGACTTGAATGGTGATCCTTCATTCCATAGTTCTGAAGGCTGGAAGTCTAGATCAAGGTGCCGGCCAACTGTCCCAAGAGAAGGCTGTCATCCTGGTCTGCAGATGCTCCTCACTGCATCTTCACATGGCAGGGTGAGAAGGGAGAGGCTCTGGTGCCCTCCTCTTCTCACAGTGACACCTGTCAGGTCACGGGGAGTCCAGCCTCATGAACTTCTCCAAGCCTAATTTCCTTCAAAAGACTTCACCTTCAACAACTATCCCATTGGTGGTGGTTATGTTTCATCATATTAGTGGGGTGGAGAGATGTTCAGTCCTAAACAGAGCCTTTATTATTACTTCAGTTCAAACATGCTGCTGAAGACTAGAATGCTCCTAAGCATGCTTTCCGCATTCTGAATAGATACATGAAAGTGTCTGACAAGTGGCAAGGGACATGAGGACCTTAGAACACGGGACATTTCTGTGTTGGGCTGTTTCTGTGTCTGCAGGGCAGCTGCTCACTAGTGTGGGTGGGGACTGTGCCTTGCAGCCAGGCAGCTGTTG